GGATGCAGAGTAGGTTTCAAGTACACTAGCGTCTGAGGGAGATGTGATTAGGCAACCGGGACAGGGCGCAGAGTGGGGAGATGCTGTCCCGGGCACCGGTGAAGGGATGCCATAGTGGTGCTTGGGATGAGATGGGTTGGTCGATACCGAGGTGAACCACGGAAAGGTGGGAGAGAATGTGCGGAGGATCAGTATTGTAAACCAGTCCACTATTAGGTTGGGGGCAGGCATGGCTTTGAGAGTATGCCTGATGGTGCGTTGACTGGTCTATACTGACGGTGTTGTGGAACGGGGAGAGGTGTGCTATCCCCGTGTTCCACTCTTCTTTCCCCCCCCTCGTCAAGCGTGGGGGGGTACGACCGTTAATCCAATATTCGAAAGCAACGATCAACGCAGAAGATTGCAGAGACAGAGGCGTTGAAATCTGAGTTTTGTGAGGAGCTGAAGATGAAATACTAGTTGGCCAATTAGAGAGCAGCAGCATGGAGTCAGGGTGAAGTGTCTGAAGTCTAAGAAAAGTAGACATGGGTGCACCTTGCTGGTCTGTCCCAAACAAGCAAGATAGCATGAGGCTGCTGCAGCCAAGAGGTATTTCGGAGATCTGTTCCTTTCCCACCCACCCACCCGTGCTTTTGGGGGTGTCAGTGGTAGGGCGAGGGAGGGTCGACAGTAGTGGTGAGCGACGAAAGTGTGGGCGTTTGCCGAAACTACTGCAGGGGCGAGGGTTCTAATTGGGAAGATGGTCCTCATTGGGGCATGTCTGGCGCGGTAGAGGTGTTCGCGGTACTCTCGGTGCTAGTGAGAGCGCGTGTTACTGTGCTATTGGGGTGTTAGTGCAGTACGTGATTCCGGCTATGGTCGCTTGGGTCGGCTGTAGCTGAGGGCGGCGGTTGGGCGGCAGGTGCGAGCACAACGGGGTTGCTCGTGAGGTACCGCAGGGGGTGACCGTCGCCAAGCTTGACAGGTGCGCGACTAGACACGGGCATGCTTCGATGTACTACGCGGTGCATCATGATTCATGTGGTAGTATGTTCTGTGTATTGGGGCTGGTATTCATGGACATGCATGCGATTCGGAGAGAAGAGAGTTTATGGTACACACGACATCCCGGGGTAGTGGGAGCGCCGTTGACTGCTGTTCATGTTATTATGAACTGGTGCCGAGTCAGGGGGATGTCGGTTGTGTTTGGAGTGTTTCCAGTCTATTTCCCTTGTACATGTGTTTACGTGCATGGTGGATTTTGAGTACGGTGCTACTCAAACGTTGAGTTGCATGGCTATGCAAAAAAAAAATTCCACAGTGCATGTATTTGTTTATTCCGGTCCTGGGATTCAGTCCGGGAAGACGGCGTATCGATGCATGTATACAGGTGTATATAATGGTACATGTACATACGATGAGTGATGGGGCAGGCATGGCTTTGAGAGTATGCCTGATGGTGCGTTGACTGGTCTATACTGACGGTGTTGTGGAACGGGGAGAGGTGTGCTATCCCCGTGTTCCACTCTTCTTTCCCCCCCCTGGTCAAGCGTGGGGGGGTAAGACCGTTAATCCAATAGTCGAAAGCAATGATCAAAGGGATACCTGTGAAGATTTTTTTTACGGTATATCCCTTTGGTCTAGGGTTCTACGTCATGACCCGAGACCCGAGAGCACGCGTGGGCGGCGACGTCTGTCCGTCCCCGCCCAGCTCAGCGAGGGGAAACACCGCACACAAAATGAGGTTACGCACGCGAGCGCTCAGAATATTTCTTCAAAAACAGGCTGTGAGATTATGACAGCGGAGACAGAGTCCCCCTGGCCTCCCGGTGACACTGTGTGTTGGTCTGAATGAATCGCACCGACCATTGCAATTTGCCATGTTTCGTTTTTTACGATTTTGGACTAAACGGCGAACTGCAAAAGTATGTAACTGATAGTAGAAACCGATACCTGCGGGTGTTGGCGTCAGCAGTCAGCGTGGTCAGGACACACGCCGGTTGCATCAGCCAGTTGGATGCATGTGCTCTCACCGCTTGTCTCTGTAACTACAAGAAAAGTATGTCGACTATGAAACTAGATGTTGCAGAGACTACACATTTTTTGGACCATGCCCTTAGGCAGGAAATGGGGGAAAAGTCGAGCGCGACGCTCTGTAGATGAGTACTCGATACCGGGCAGCGGACACTATTGTGAACACTTGCAATAGTTCTTCGCCAATTTGCCGGGGCCGAACGTGTGCAACGAACTTCGTTTATTCGTTTATTTCGTTTTGCCGGGCGCAAGGGGGCTACAGATGGCGCCCGCACTTAACAACTTAGCAGTTAAGAAATTGAGACTCGCAAAAAATCAGAAGCTAAGAACTTCAGCACCATTTGTGAGCTCGGTTAAGAACCCCACACTAAAACCTATATAGCGGCCATTTGTAGCCCACAACAGGATGATCAGCAAAATAAGAACCCCAGCCTCGGCTGAAACTAGAGGTTGTAAAGTGCGGGCGCCATCTGCAAACAAGACTTGAAGCACCCGACGCTTCCCTCGCCCTAAGGCTCCTGCTGCTACAGGGACTGGGCTGGATTCGTAATCTAACGGTGAGCCCGCAACACAACTCTACTGCCACAGCTGTAACGTTATGCCGGCGATGCCAACGACCCATCACCGAGGGCAAAACGGCAAGCACAAGGGGAGACGACGCACAACCGAAGACAACAACCAACCCGACCACGGCACTCCATCGGTGAAAAATACGCCCCGTGCTTAGGACCTAGCGGCAAGAGACGGTATCCAGCGGGGTCCTCCGCAGAGCTACGTGGTAGATGGAAAACAGCGGTTCTTCCCAAAGAGAATTGCAAGGAAACTGGCGCTCTTCACAACCGCCCATGTTCGGCAAAGGGACCGCTGGCTTACTCCACAATCCGCCGTATTTCTATGCGTACGGTCTTCTCGTGGTCATGAGGGGGAGGAGGGGGAGAGTCGAAAGGCCGGGACCCGCAACACAACAACGACAACCCACATACACAAGGTTTACCTATGCTGGGATAAAACTGCTCAAGGCCCAACAAAAAGGGCCATTGTTGTCCCGGCACGACCACACGCGGTGGTGACAACCGGGCTGCAGCCGACATTCGAGGTTGGCACCAGCATTCCTCGCACTCTCTCATAGAAACATCGCCAGTTTTCACAACACGGGTCATTCCTTGGCCCCGAGGGCCACTTCCGGTTTGTCACTATTTTTTTTCCCTCATAGAAACACGGCCAGTTGTTCACAGCACAGGTCAATGCTTGGCCCCAAGGCCCACTACCGGGTTGGCACCACCAATCCTTTATCTTACGAACACCGCCAGTTTCTCACAACACAGGTCATTACTTGGCCCCGAACGCCCACTTCCGGATTGGCACCACTATCAGCCAGCCAGCCAACCAGTTAATCATTCGTCATCGTCCATCCCCCACAAGCCGTCATAGCTGTCCCCGACACCGTCCGCTTCTTCTCCGTCGTCCGGTGTCATCAGCCCGGCCACGGTCTCCTCCACTTCGGCCCCGAGCTGCTCCTCCGAGGGTGTCCCCTCCGACGGGCAGAGGCGGGACAACGTCCTGGCCCAGGCCTCCGGGGGACAGCCCCCCCGGTCAGCGATCTCCTGGTTTTGCGGCGTGGCACGGCGGTAGACAACACCCAAGGAATATTTGTCGTTATTACTCGAAAAGCACTATTTGGCCGGTTTTTCTTCCGTTCACTGCTGAAAAGACTCCGACACTACCCGTCGACTGTGGTTTAAACTCGAACAGATAGCATTTCTGCGGTTGAGTGTAGATAAATTTTCTAGCAACACACGCACGTAATCGTCATTCGCTCTGGCGTAGCCACCGAATACAAGATAGCTGCCTCCCCCCGCCCCCATCAACCTTCTACAAATATTTTCATTTGGTGCAACCTCCTCCACACATTCCGTCTCTCACCGTCATCCACTCTGGTGGCAGGTAATATCTCGCCAGGGGTAGTACCCTTGCCACCTCTTTGACCTCCCGCGGCCGCCAGACCACCCCGCCATCGATCTCCATGACCCACTTCGCGAGAACTTCGTCGCCCGTGACCTGGACAGAAAGAGGGAACCGGAACAATAAACGCTGTATATTCTTCGTAGGGGGAGCTCTGGAAAGGTGTACCTTTGCTAGTCTGGGCACCGCGGAAGGTGTCTGCGTCAGCTGGACCAGTACGGATACGAGAAGGTACTGAGCGAAGACCGGAACGTTTTTTACTGTGAAGACCACAACAACAACAACTCGGAATTAGTCATTGCTTGACCCTTGAACGAGACTCGAGCGAACAAATTGTCTCGACGACCGGGAGAGGGCACATCCGCAGCTACATATGTGTGGCTATTTTTTCCTTCGGTGCAACAAAGATTCAGGAGGGCACGCGGGGAGCATACCTTTCAGTCCCCCACACTCGCTAGTAGGTGCAGTGCCTTGAACTTCCGCCGCACCCTGGATACCATGACTGATATCGCGTCACACTTTTGGCCTACTTAACAAGCCACAATCCAGAACCTCGCAGCGGTGGACAAGGATTCCTGCCGTCGTTTTCATCGCCGGACCTAAACCACGAAATCAAACTAAAGTTCGACCAGTGTGCCGAAACAAATACTCACTTGTTCCCCACCACGGTAGGCTCAACCCCACCAGCCACCAAACAGTGAGAAGAGAAATACCCAAGCAGGCAAAAAAAAAAGCAGAATGCACGTCCGCCGACTATCCACAGCAAGGCTGTCAACGGACAGATCCCGCCCCGGTCTCACGGCACAACAAAATCGCAGAGGGGTCCCTGTTTAGTGCCGGCATGTGCCCAGAAAAATTACCGGCACTTTGCCGGACCGGCACTGTTCAAAGTATTGGCAATTACTTGGAAATCCAGTGTGTACCCGCCGAAAGCACCGGCATTATATTATAAAGACCCCCTTTGTATCCTGACAACAACAACTGTGACGTATGCATCGGGTGCTGCCCCCTTCTGCCATTCGCCGTCATGATTGGCCACTCACGTCCTCGTGCTCGTAGTCCGCCGCAGCCGCAGCCCCCTTGCCGGCCTCCTCGGCCCCCCGTCCCCCCGCGTACTCCAGCGAGAACGCCTGCACCCCCCTCTCGCGGCAGAGCTCGATCGTCGCCGTCGTGGCCGCGCCGTCGCCGGCCCTCAGGTCCCCGAAGTACAGAGACGGAAGCTTCCGCGGAACGGTCCCCGGAACATCGGCGGCGGACCCAGCCGCCGGTGATTGGTCCACGAGGAGGGCGAGGCGGTCGGCGACTTTGGGCCCGTGGCCTCCCACACCGAGGTGGCTCCCGAGGCGAGAGTCTAGCTCGTCGTTGCTGCCGTCTGCGCTGCTGCTGCTACTGCTGCTGCTTTCGGCGGCGGGACTGTCGGCGGTGAGACTGTCGGCGGGAAAGTCGAACGGCCTGCCCTCGCCGACAACGCTATTATCATCGGACGAGCTTCCGTCGAAGTTTCCTCCCGAACTGCCACTGTCGAATGGGCTGTCGAACGGGTTGTCATCCACGGGCGTGTCCAGGTCTGTCTGCTCGGTAGGCGCCGCGGGTAGCCCCGTCGACTCTCGGGGGAGGGAGGCGGCCGCGTGGTGGGCTTCGTCCCACATCTCCAGGAACTGCCGGTCGTCGTCGAAGTACCTGGCCATGGGTGTTGCCGTGGAAAGTTGGTGCGGTTGCGGGCGTGGAGCAACATGAAAAATCACCTCACATTAAGCCGGCGATTGTACAGTGGCACCTAACGTGTGCGCAGACGTGTTTGGGAGCGATGTCTACTATTATTGTGGTTGTTAGTATTGTTGCCGTTGCTGTTGCCGTTGCTGTTGCTGTCCAAAGAAAGCGGAGCGGCAAGCGAGATGACGCAGCAACCGACCAACGGTGGCGGCCCTTTGGACGGAGCAACGGATCACAAATGAACTTAACGACATACGCTTAAAAGGGAGAAGAAACGCACATCGGAATAGTAGCTGCGGTCACCAGAACCACCGACGAAAAAAAAAAACACCGGAGTCTGGAGTGCACGCAGGCACAGAAAGGGGTGTTGCAAATCTAGGAAGAGGGGGGTCCGCAGAACCAAGTTGCAAAGGTATGTATGTACAGGTGTTGCAGGATCTTTTTTCAAGAATGGGCAGGCAGCGCCGCTGATTACTGCCGCGACTGTGTGAAGAGGAGGGGCAGACACCACTGCTGACTACTTCCTCGGCTTTGTGTCTCACTCGCCGCTCTCCCTCGCCAGCACCAGCGCGTCCACGGAATCCAGCAGCCTGGTCGCGGTGCCGTCCGCCTCGATGCCGCCGTCGTCCACGCGGCCCGACGCGAGAGTCTCGCTCACCGCGGCGGCTATCCCCCCCCCCCCCCCCCCNCCCGACGCGAGAGTCTCGCTCACCGCGGCGGCTATCCCCCCCCCCCCGGCCACGGCCGAGTTGCTCTCCCCGACGATCATCGTTACGAACAGGTCATCCCGCTTCACCTGAGCGGGCGAAACAAGGGGGGGGGGGTCGTGACGCGATGCTGTAGGTGACAAGACCTGCTGTGCCTTCCGTGCTTGTCCGTGCAGGCGGCGAGGGAGCGCAGGACGTGGGCGAACAAACGCAGCACGACAAGGCTCAAACCACGGGAAGGTCTCGTTTTTTTTTTTACATATCGGGAGGCGAGCGTGAGAGGAAGGAGTATTCCTCCGCCAAACCAATACCTCGAAGAAAGAAAGGAGACACAAAAACTGCCTACGTCTTCTCCCCTCTCTGACTGATCGCCTCGTTTGACGTGCGGTATGCTCTTACTCGGCCTCGCCTCCGAGCCGCCGTTGGACCCCCCGCCGCTCTTCGTGCACATCAACAACAACACATCAACAACAACACACCAACACCAACGAATACAAGCACAACGAAAACTCACGCACACGGCGGTGTCGGTACAATCTTCGGGGGTGCGGTGTCCAAGCACAACCAAAAGGATAAAGGACTAAGTCTACAGCTCTCAGCGAAGACCGGGGGGGCCATTCTCGGCGCAAGTACGGACGACTGACCACCCCCCTGCTCGTTCCCTCTGGTCTCCAGCCATCTCGCCGCCCATTATCGTCTCTTCTTCTTCTTCTTCGCAAGCTTATCACGTAGACTACGCCTGAAGCCGCCTCCCCTTAGTCGAACCCTCCTGTCTACCAGATGGTCTTCTGCTGACACGCGACCGTCTTCTTTTCGTCATGTCATTCTCGCCTGCCCCTTGCCCACCCCCCTCCCCGTCCCCCTCTCACCACGCCAAACGCCAAGGCCGCTTGTAGCCCCTCGACGGCTTCCTTCACGCCGGACGAGCTAACCTCCAGCACAAAATGCCGCACACCTACCCAAAACAACACGGCGGGTGTTGCTGAGCGGGACTCAGGATCGGGAGGGGGAGACTGCCAACGGTGCAATGGGTCTGTTTTTGAGGGATAAGTCAGGGTAATGAATACTCGCCTGCAAGAGGAATGCTCGCCCTGATGGAAGAGAAAACCAAGACACTCAACGAAGTGAGGGGGGTACGAAGGTTGACCGGGACTGGTATGGGAGGAGTTAGACAAAACGCCACGGTATACTACATTCGCGCCGAATGAAGGCGGACTCAGCACAAGAACCGTATGTAGCAGAGCCAGAGCTCACCCAGAGGCACAACAAGGGCGAGGAAGGGAAACACGCTAAGATACTTCTATATGTTAGCAGAATCTAAATCCGCGGATGATTCGAACCTACAAGGGGAAAAAGCCATGCCGCGCGGGATGACTCAAACGCATACAGAAGGGCCGAAGTCAGACTGCGCGGAGACGAATCGAACGCGTGAAGGGGAGAAGTCATGCCGCGCGGAGATGAATCGACCGCAAAAGGGAGTGCAGCAGTCATACCGTACGAAAGCACGCAGTCAGACATTAGGGGGTACGTCAACAATCAGAATACAACAGAGGAGGGGATGTAAGAACGGCACAGCTACAGCAGCGGTTGCAGCCACGGCAAAAGGAGAAGGCTGATGCTCACCCAGCTTGAGGCCTTCCAAGACGACCATCGTGGGCGGCGACACGCCATCCTCCGCCCCACCGATTGCCACAAGAGGTACCATCGCTCCGGTGGGTAGACTGTTGTCGGAGGTAGTGGAATCGGGGCGGGGAGGGGGGGGGGGGGGGGG